CAGCCTCTCTGACTGGGAATTTATGCCTCTGCCCAGCCTCTTCTGTCCTCTGGCCCCACCACAAAATCATGGTAAAGTCCACACGGTGAAGGCCATCAGCCAGACTGGGTTCTGGACAGCCTGCCCCCCTGCATGTCACAGCCAGTGCCGCCTCTATTCCAAGTAAGACAGTCTGGCAAGGCGCCCAGCCTCTGCAGTGTCGTCTTCAACAGGAGTGAGCGAGGAAGGAGGAAAACCACCAGTGCTAGCGCGGCCGTGGTTCACGTGGCCCCAGTCACAAGTGGAACCAAGCCTAGGGGCCACTTTGCACGTGGTGTGTTCTGGGCTGAAGGTGACACCCACCACCTTGGAAAAAAGACAAGTCTGCCATCTCACTGACTTAATACTGCGGGTTCTTTTCATTTCACTCACACATTTTTCCTGGTTGTAAAAACTGCACGGAGCAGTTCAAGGCTTGCCTTGTCCATTGAGCATTTTTGGAATCTCTGGGCCTTCTGAGTGATGGTGAGAGCAGTTACTCAGGTCTGTGGTGTGGATGTGATATGTCTGACTGTGGGCCCTTTCTGCTGTGTGGACACTCCTGCAGGGAGGGTCTCTCCTGAGCTGGGATCCAGGGTAAAGGCTCAGATCTCAGGGGGGCGGGAGGAGGAAGAGTGAAACATCTGGGGGTGCATTCAGTGTAGGCTTGAGAGGCTTGTGGGACATCGGGGTGTGATGTCCAGCTGGGCAGCTAAAATTCTGCTAATGTGTGGGTCCCTCCTGGGATGCCATCCTGCACCTCAGGGTTGGCAGAGGAAGGGAAATGCAAGGGTAAATCACGTGGCCAGGAGCAGGTAGAGGAAATGGGTGAAGCGAGGGCAGGTGGCCATCAGTCCTCTCCCCAGGATGGGCAGGCCCTCATGTCCCTGTTGTTCCCAGGACCACAGTCCTTTTGTAGCAAAGGCCATGAGGAGGAGGAAAGACATGGTACCCCTGAGGTAGGGTCAAGACCTTGCGGTGACCTGGATTAAAAAGGGGTAATAGATTTCAGGGTCCCACCGCCAGTGCTCACCTGGACACTGTCACTACTCCTGTGAGTGACCCCAATTTGCGTTTTTGTGCAGTGCATAAGGGGCTCAGGGGAGACTGGAGGATCAACCTGCCGCCCAGGCTCTAGGGGAGAGCTCAGCATGGGCTCCGGGGTTGACTCCCAAGAGCCCCTCTCATTACTGCTGGACAGTCTCCAGTTTGTCTCCTCAGGCTGGGGAGCAGGCTGTCACTTCCCCTCAGGCATCGCCCCTCCCATGACATGGCTTCGGAACATTCACCACTGGCTCCGCCTCCTCCTTTTGGTGCCTCTGAACGGACACCTGGGCTGGGTCCTGGTCACCTGCTCATTTCTGGTTCTGGGTCACTGGGCTGGAGGGAAGTGAATGGTGCCTCGCGGAGATGGATGGGGCTGTAGTGGGTAAGGGCTCATGTCCTGTCCCACTCCTGACCGGAGTCAGATGCTGCCTTCCTGGGTCTGACTGAGGTGGCATTGGACATCCCCAGAAGCCTTGGGGTCCGGAAGCAGAAACCAGAGGGAAACCTGGCTGCCAGACCCAAGGGTTTGGACTTGAAGAGGCCTCTCAAGGGGTCTCCTTGCCAACAGGGAGGCATTGCAACCTCACACTCAGAGCTGGACACACCCTCAGTTACCCAGAATCAGAACCCCTGTCCTAGGGCAAGTTTCTGACTCAGCAGGTTCAGGGAACTCGAGTTTCTAACAGGTCCTGTGCTGTGCATGCTTCAAGTCAGGGTCACCCTGGGAGGACCCAGCTCTCACCCAGCCACCTGGTGTGTCAGATGGGGAAACCAAAGCACAAAAGGTTCCCTAGCTGCAGGCAAAGTCAACCAGCCAGGGGACAGACAGGGGCCACCACACAGGTTCCCCCTTGATGACGATTCCATGATGGAAATGGGCCACATGAGTGTAGTGATGGCTGGTGGGTTTTGTTTACTAATATGATGTACACCATACTGATTGTCTGGACTACATGTCCATGTCCTCCAAATCCACATGTTGGAGCTCTGACCCCCAATGTGATGTTAGGAGATAGGATCACTGTCCTTAGAGAAGAGGAACTCCTCTCTGCCAGATGAGGACATAGTGAGAAGGCAGCTATCTGTTGGCCAGTGTCTTCCTCTGAGCCATGGCCTCCCTGTACAGAGGGTCCTGGGAACCACCTCCATAGTTTGTGCAGATGGAAGGGAGTCACAGTGTGAGCCGGGCTGAGGTGACAGTGACAAGGCAGGTGGGCCAAGTAAGGGGTTGGGCAGTGGCTAACTGCAGGCAGAGGCCCAAGCAATGCCAGGGGTTTGGAAGGAAGCAATAACCACCCTCTGAGAGAGAAGGGCACCGGGCTGCGGGGAGAGGTGGTGCTGGCTGAGGTGAAGAGCTGGAAGAGCTATCTAAAGACCTTGGTGACTGGCTGGTGAAAGCAGCAGTGGCATGGACCCTCAAGCTGCACATGGAAGGCCTATCAGCCCATGAGGTTCTGTCTCAAGGTCTGAGAGAGAAGCACCCTGTGAGCCGAGGAGGAGTCAGGGTACACCAGTCTACACTGTGTAACAAGTGATCAGATCAGTGCTTCAGGTGGCACCCATTCATTAGTTCAGGTCAGAAGCTGGGTAGTTTGTCTGGGTTTCTTGCTCTGGGTCTCATGATGCCAAAATCAAAGTGGCCAGTCTGGGAAGAACATGCTCCCAACCTCATCTAGCCATCAAACTCAGGCCCTTGTTGGTGAGTGGATCCAGTCTCCAGGTACTGGCAGCTGTCGGTCTTGTGGTTTGTAGCTCCTAGGGGCCACTTTCTGGCCCCTCCATCTCGGAGCCTTAGCAGCTCCAGAGGGCGCTGACTTCACCCCCAGCTGGAGGTTGTGCTGTGAAAACAACTCGTGGTGGACCCTGATTGACATCCGCTCTCCACCACAGGTCCTGCTGATACAGCTATTGTGATCTGCTGTCATTCACAGTCGGGGCAGCAGGGTGGGGGCTCTTGGGGCCACAGTAGAGTCTAGGCTCAGTGGGTGGTGAGGCAGGAGGAGCCACGCCCTGCCTTCCCACAGCACGCAACCCCCCACAAACACTCGGAGTAGCCTCAGTGCCAGCCCCTGGGACAGGAGATGGCGTCTCTCTTTGCACCCACCACGGACCGCAGTTGGGCTCACCTTCAACTATGAACCCGGTGGCAAACTGCAGCACCGTTGGCAGTTTCTGAGCCAGATTCACCAGGAGAAAGCAGACACTTTCATCTCAGATGATGGTGGAGCCAGAGAGTACAGAATGCATTGGCACTCTCAGCCCAGGCGTCGGCTCAACAAAGAGACACGCTCGCTCCCGAATCACAGCCTTGTGCTGCGGCTGCAGTCAGTCTGCTGCTTCCCCATAACTGTGTCTTCTCTTGATTCAAGATGAATTCTACCACCCATTCCTACGCTGTGTCCACTTCCCCTCATGCTCACATCTTGTATAAGGGGCACGTTTGTCAGGTGGAAAGCCCGTCCTGTGCAGTGCCACTAGCCACACATGGCGGACATCACCAGTCTCTGTGGATGTTTTTTTCCTACCCCATCCCATTCTGTGCTGCCTCTAGTCCTTAGGAGAGGCCAGTACATGGCAGTCCCAGGAGACTGAGCCCCAGACAGCCACTGCTGCAGGTGGAGGCTCTTCCCCACCTTCCCATCCAGCCCTCAGCCCCGCCCAGAGCCTCCCACTTCCGCCAGGAAGTGTGTAGGGGGAGGGAGTTATAGACTCTGGTTTCCAAGTATTGATTGCCTAGGGCAGTGGTCGGCAAACTCATTAGTCAACAGAGCCAAATATCAACAGTACAACGATTGAAATTTCTTTTGAGAACCAAATTTTTTAAACTTAAACTATATAGGTAGGTACATTGTTATTAACTTAATTAGGGTACTCCTAAGGCTTAGGAAGAGCCACACTCAAGGGGCCAAAGAGTCACATGTGGCTCGTGAGCCGCAGTTTGCCAACCACGGGCCTAGGGACATCTACTTTCTCTTCGGTAAGAAATCTGGGTCCTGGGTGTGTGCAGTGTGGATGCTTTCCCAGCTTTATTGAGATTCAGGTGACACATGGCATTGTGTGAGGTTCAGGTGTACAGTGCAAAGATTTGATAATGTAGATGTTGTGAAATGATACGCTCACATAAGGTTAGTGAACGTATTTGGATTTTTTATATGATTTTTTAATGGTTCAATTTATCCTTTAAGACCTAGCCAACATTTGGTGGCCCAATTAGCCCTCTTGGCCCTCTCCTGCCCTCCTCCTGCTCAACATCCCCTGCCCTTGTAGAAAGGGACACCCCCAACCTCCCCTCCGCCTCCCCACGCTCTATCCTCTGCTCTCAGTCTTCCTCAGACAGGGTCTGCATTGCCCAGACCCCCTTAGTCACCCGGTTCTTGAGCAGAAAAACCTTCCTGGAAGTAATTCAAGAAATTAAAAGGGTGGGAGAGGGATCCTGCTAGGGTTGGTGGAGGCTGGAGCAGCTGGAGCGGCATCTGGGCTGGCGGCCATTGGCATCCTGGCCTCACTCAGGGAGGTGACGAGCCCGGGCCTGCCCAGAGGAGAGCCCGGAGGAGGCAGGTGGGAGCTGATTTAGCACCCCCAGAAATGAACTTGGGAGAGGCTATTAACTTGAGAGACCCTCTCTGCTTCCCCTAGAGCAGAGTCCTGGGGTGTGAAGGAAGCAGGATGGGTCCAATCTTTCTGCCCTGGCCTTGGCTTGCAGGCAAGAAGGAAGATGGGAAGGACCAAGGTGGTGCAGGCTCTGTGGGAGGTGTGGGAGCTGTGGGGTTCTGGGGTGAGTGCCTTGCCCCTCCTGTACCCCCACACAGAATACATCCTGGCCTCACATCTGGCAGGGGCCAGCACCTGCCAGCAAAGACAGAGAGATGGAGTCATCTTGTCTTTCTGTCTGAGACTCTAAGTCAACATCGACATGAATTTTCCTTCTAGTGAGAGATGGGCTCCCCGACAGGAGGCCTGTGGAAGCTGCTGAAGAAGCCGGAGCCACCGTGGCTCCTCTTCCCACCTGGCTTCCTGATGGACAGTCAGCCAGCCACACGGTTCCCAGGGCCTCTACACCTGCATCTCGCCATCACTGCAGAGGGTGTCACCCCCAGCCCTGGTGCTGTGGTTTCAGGTCAATCCCACTAGTGCCCAGTGCGGGTGGGCATGCATCCTGGTGGATGTGCCACAAGAGGATTTTGGTCCCTAGTCCTTGGTGTGGAGCCCCAGCACCTGCTTCTTACCAGGTGGGGTCAGAAGTGGGGACACCAAGCTTCAGAAACAGACGCAAACCTCAGTCTGGGGCAGGAAGAGCCATTCACACACAGAGTCTACACAGGCTGCACAGTCCCTGGGGCCGGGACAAGGCATCTGGTAGGTGGGTGTCGTAAAAACTGACTGAGTGGACTGGACAGGAAGTGGAGGTTGTGAGGAGAACCAGGGCTCTGGGCACTGCACATTCTCTTTATGGTTCTCTGTTTCCAAGTGGCCAAGAGAGGCAGGGGGTGTGCAGGTTAGCTACAGACTATCTCCCACCACTGCCTCCTCTTGTGCACCCATCCCTGCCCTGTCCTGGAGCCAGGCCAGGCCCACTTCTCAGCCTGGAAGCTTACCCTAACCAACTGATTGCTTCCGAGGGCAGAGACAGCTGACCTCAGTGCATCCTGCCATCTGTCCACTTGATCCTTGCTTATCCATCAGGAAGCCAAGTACCAGGTTGACATAGGGGTCTCGGAGGAATAGTGGAGACAGCCCATCCGTGCAGGGCAAGGGTGCAGGAGAGCCAGGAGCAGGTTACAGGGCGCTTCCAAGAGAAGACCAAACAGTAAAGTGAGAGCAGAGGGCTAGCCTTTCCGAAAACTTTGGGATCCTGGGACTAT